TAATTGGTTAAAGACATGAAGCTTTGTCTTGCTTGGAAGGTTTTAAGAAGCTGTTTATCAGAGATAAGCCACCGGATGTATATTTGTTGTGTAAATGGAGGCCCTGCAGGTTTGTCTAGTTTACCCTTAGGCCTGTTAATGAGTTACAAAGAATATTCCTAAGATGGGAGCGGGACATAATGAGGCATGTCTGACCTCTCTCCTCTTAGCAGGCAATTTAGTTTTATGATATTTCTTTGGCCACAAGGGGGTCCATTCAGTCAGCCGGTGGGGGGTGAGCCTTAAGATTTTATTTTAGTTCACATAAGTTTAAGAATGAAGTAGTTACACATAATAAAACCCATCCTCTGTCCAAGGAGAGGCTGAAGAAAAGGCATTCTAAGGAGAAGGGAGCAGCCTGTTGAGCTCATAGGAGATTCTGGTTTAGTTAATGCTGCCTATGCATCTATTTGCGGAAAGTTCTCCAACAAATGTGATGATCAGAATTGGGAATCACTGTTCTGTGTCCTCCGCCCTAACATTTTTCTATTTTCTGTGAATTCCCTTTTAAGGCAGTCGAGATAAACCACGTCTGGTTTGTAGGGGATAGAAAAAGGCGCTCAGAAGCACCTAAACTTTGTGTCAACCTCGAAGCACGTAGCAATGAAAGACTACGCAGGAACGTAGGAAAGCAATAACAGTTTTCCACAACGTGGGGGAAGGGCGTCATTCGAACTCCTGGCAGGAAACGGAACTTAAATTTTTTTTTTTTTTATTTTGGCGAGACCGACTCTCGCGAGAGCTGCGGCGACGGCCTCGGCCAACCCGCGCGGGCGGCGGCTGCGCCTTTATAAAGAGATGCGGAAAGCCGCGCAGCGGGTTGCGGAGGGTGGCTCTGGGTGGGGTGGCGGCCATTTTTATCTAACCCTAACTGAGAAGGGCGTAGGCGCCGTGCTTTTGCTCCCCGCGCGCTGTTTTTTTCGCTGACTTTCAGCGGGCGGAAAAGCCTTGGCCTACCGCCGTCCACAGTCCAGTCTGGAGGAAACAAAAAATGTCAGCCGCTGGCCCGTTCACCCCTCCCGGGAACCTGCGGTGGTCCGCCCGCCCGCCCCCCGAGCCCTGCCTAAAGGCCGCGGTCGGCCTGGGGCTTCTCCGGAGGTACCCAATGCCGCCGCGAAGAGTTGGGCTCTGTCAGCCGCGGGTCTCTCGGGGGCCAAGGGCGAGGCTTAGGCCTGCTGGCCACAGGGAAAGTAACGGAGTGGGTCCCCGTACGCGGTGCGCTTCCCTGAGCAGTGGGACTTGCACCCGGGACTCGGCTCAGACATACATCTTGATGGAGCTGTTGCGGGGGTCCGGCAGCTTGCTTTCTCACTGGAAGGGGGGATGCCGATTTTGCGCGTCGGTAACCCTTCGCCATCTGTGGTGGTTGTGTGGGCCCTCAAACCTGGTAGATTGGGCTAGGGTGCGTGCAGAATTGGCAGGAGACGTGAAGGCACCTCCAAAGTTGGCCCAAATCAATGGGCAGTGAGCCGGGTTGCCATCTAGATGTTCCTGCGTAGGTTTTTTTTTCCTCCTCCACCCCCATTTTGTGTTGCCCTTTGGCGTTGTTTTATAGCTTGCCTCTTCCAAAGTTGGTTTCTACCAGTCCCCTCAATTGGGTGCAGAAGAGCACTGATTTTTTTGTGAGAGCATTAAAAATTTAATAAGTATTTAACTAGAAGAGGTAGTTCTCTAAAAGAAAACTATTCCTTAATGGTCGTTGCTTTTCTTTTTTTTAGAGACAGCCCTGCTCTGTCGCCTGGGCTACAGAGCAGTGGCTAGATCCCAGCTCACTGCAACCTCAAACTACAGAGCGCAAGTTATCCTCCTGGCTCAGCCTCCCAAGTAGCTGGGACTAAAGGTGTGTGCCACTATGCCGCCTAATTTTTTTTTTATGTTTTGTATAGACATGGTCTCACTTTGTTGCCCAGGCTGGTCTGGAACTACTGGCCACAAGCGATCTTCCCACTCTGACCTCCCAAAGTGTTACAAGCGTGAGCTGCCCAGTCGTTGTTTTTCCGTCTTTGCCTCGCCTTTAGATGCAAAGTAGTAAGTGGTGAAAGACTGAAACGAAGTTTACAGAGGAATATGTGCCCCTGTCTCCCCCCCCTCCACCCCCAGAATTGGGTCTGGTTTCCTTTAAGAAAGGAAGCTGATGGCCCACTAAATTAAAAGAAACAAAGGACAAGACAGGCCTGTGTCCACTCATCCCAGAAAACACTCATCCAGAAAACGGAAACGTAATTCCAGTCTTTTTGTGTCATCTCAAGTCTAGGCCTTTGCTTCCTCTCTTCTTTAGGGCCGCTATTCTGGGGCCAGTTGCCAGGAGAGATAGCAGCCTGGGGGCCTGCCTATAAAGACAGACCATTAGGGTGATACGCAGCCCAAATCCTGTTTATTGAAAGGGTCAGTAAATTTATGAATGTGTATGTCTGTAGCATCTCAGCCTATTACCTAAAGTAGGTTCCTTGGAGTTGTCTTGTAAGAACCGGTCCCCCTCGGCCCCAGGAACAGAGAAGCAGAGTCACCGAGGATGCAAATGGCAAAGGAGTTTATTTGCTAGCTCGAGCTAGGGT